AATAATAATAATAATAATAATGTCTCGTAACAATTTCCACTCATGAAATTATCGATAACCCTGTTTAATGTTTTGCGTAATAATCCGCAGAAGAAGATGGTCATTATTAAATGGCGTTGGAAGTGGTAGTGTTCGGTGGTGGTAATAATAATAAACGAAGGAGAGGGACACGAGGATAATTGGTATAATAATGATGAAAAACGTAAGACGTCTTAAGAAATTAATTCCCCCCGCGGGTGAAAGACTTAGTTACGACATTTTATATACATTCGGGAACGACCGACCGACGTGGAATGCACTTACACGTAACGCGCAAAGAAAATTACGAATCATGATTGCAAGAATTCATCACGAGAGGTAATCGTTCGTGAGCGAAAGAACAACAAAAAAAGAAACAAAAAAACCAAATTATTCGATCATTTGGAACGATATTTAAACATAGGTGCGTATTCGATCATCGTGACAAATACGAATATCTACATTTTGTTTTTAAATATGCAAAATGCATGAATAAAAAGGAGTGCGATTATTTTTTATATAATTGTAGTATAAAAATTAGCTGAAAAAAGAACAAAAAGAAATGTAAAGTTAATAAAGAAAAATATCTACAAATAAATAAATATAATTAAACGGGTAACACCAATCTCGATAATCGAGATTATTAACGATGGAATAATTTAATTTATAAACGTGCAACACTGCAACTAGTTTTAATAGTAATTAAGAAGAAAATTATATAATTAATTCGATCTCTTACCATATATTCCCATTCGTTTCCCTTTCGAGTTGAGATACTATCTGTAAATAACAATCAATTTTGAAAGGAACGACTAGGACTTAACTATACACATAGATGAACGATAGAAACGTAGGCAATAGAAAATACACGTGTGTATATATATATATATACATGCATAGGCATATACTTACATACTTACATTACTTAATTGGAACTTGTAAAGTCAACGCACGGATTTGTCCTGAGATTCTTTAATCTCACAAGCTTACGTAATACAATCCAATTTAAACTCACGCGTTCGTTCGTTCGTTCGTTCGTTCGTTGTTCATTCGTTCATTCGTTCATTCGTTTTGCTCCTACTTCTATTATATGCTTTCCTATGTTTCGTAGTACTCGTTAACAAGACTCTTTAAAAAAAAAAAAAAAAAAACAAATTTGATCCTTCTCTCCTCCAATCTAATTCTTCTAAATCGATCAATACAATCGTTATGTTAATGATCGTACGATAAAAAATAGAATAAAAACCAAGAAGAATAGTTAGAAATCATTACGTTGTATTTTTTTTTTTTCTGTACATTAATATCTTCAAAGTAACATGACATCTTTTTCTCGTTAATTGTACGATATTAATTGATTACGAACTTTTGTTGAAGGCATTACGCATCGACACGTTGTTCGTTCATTTTTTTTTACTTTTTTTTTTATATAAAATCTCTCAATCGTGCCAATAGGAATTCAGCAAAAACCGCATAATAATAATCATGCTTATCTTTTTCAAAGGCTCGTCGTAATGCGATCACAATTATTTGACCGTATTGAATATAATTGCATTACAACGTTTTTCTCGCTCGTTAATTCTTTATGAAAAATTCATGTGTTAAGTAAAACTATCGTTGTTCGCTTATAAATCGCATAATGCGAATAAATCGTTGACGAAAGAATAAAATTAAAATTGAAATTAAAAAAAAAAAAAAAGCAAAAAAAACAAACAAACAAACGCGTTTTCGTTTTTTTTTCTTTATACCCGATTTTATCAACAGATTCGCTTGAACATTGTTTAATATCTGAAAAAAGTAATTTATTTACGCGAATATTATTACGCGAATTCCTTATCACCCGTAACCAAATTCGTTACTTACATAAGTTATTGCATATTCATTAAATAACTATTACTTATTATGCAAGAGAGAGAGAGAGAATATTTTTTACTCGAGATAGTAATAGTTTTTCCTTGTCTTCTTTGTTTTTTTTTTTTTCAAATCGAACAAGTTCCATTAAAGCGTATTTATGTAAGATATGCATATGATACATAGAAACATTTGCGATAAATTAATACTGATTAAAAATTCGTACCTTTTTTTTTTTTTTTATTAGAATTTCTTCACATAATTCTTTATTTTTTTTTAAAGAATAATATTAAAGTCATCTATAGATTATCCCTAACACACGTTTTGGATTATCGCCAAATAATATCGTTAGAAACTCGTTTGAACTATATGGTCAGTCCAAGTTAATCCATTTACATGTATCTTTTCTCTCGACACCATATAAATGATTAATTTGAAAATTAATTAGTATCTTATCTGCATAATTAATATTAGATACGTTAAGTAAGTACACGTAATAAAGTAATTGATAGAAAAACAATGATACGAAATATTTCTCGTATTATTAATACAAAATTACATTGGTACCAAATAAAATCTATCACCGAGGAGAAGAATTATTAAAATATCTATAGTTAGTGATCATCATCGATGAGCAACGAGCCGAAGAAATTCAAAGAAAACCGTTACAACGAGGTCGTAAGTATAAAATATACACGTAATCGTCTTCGCTTATGTAACTCGACATACATACATTGAAAACCAACAACCGTGAGCCGAATATCCGAAAAACGGTTGATGTGTTTCATTTTTTACGTTACATATAATTAAAAAAAAAAAAAAAAAAAAGAAAAACCTAAAAAAAGAAACACAAATATCAGTATTGTCGACTAAAAATTAATAACTATTATTAATTTTCTATTATTTTTGTATACCCTATTATTATATTAATTATATAACATTACAGAATATAGTCTTATCAATGTTTTTGGTATTATTAATAATTGTTAAAACGAAAAAAGTTATTATTAAAAAAAAAAGAAGAAAAATTGAGAACGAACAAAGATCGGCCTAAAATAGAATACGATAAATATATATATATATATATTATATAAATATGTGTATAAATAATATATCTATTTACTAACATTCAACACAGAAGATAGAAAAGTAAAGTAATCAAAACCCAATAGAAAATAATATGCTTATCTGTAAGCAAGTTACTAATGCGTATCGATTTGATCTTACTCTATTATGACATAAACGTCGTTTATATAAAAGCGTCGAAGTTTATATAATGATGCAAAATACACGTGACTTTTGTGCAGGAGCGAATGCGTTCACGCGACGACGACGACGACGACGACGACGACGGCAAAACTTGGATCGTTATTTACGCCGATAAAACTACGTTCTACTCTCTTTACGAAATTATTCATGATGATATATCATCAATTTATATCCTCCTTACATGAACGATTTTAATTATCTCATCGAAACATTTTTATATTTGCACGATTAATTATTTTTCTTTTTCTTTTCTTTTTTTTTTTTTTTTCTTTTGTATGAGCAAATTAGAAAAAAAAATAATCATTCATCGGGGGATAAACCGAGGCACGTTAAACAATTTTTTTACGGATCGATTCCCATCGAATTCTTCACGCGTATCCCATTAAAATATATTTCTCAAGAAAGGAAACAAGAATAGATAAGGTATGGTATATAAGGTTTTGTAAATTATAAATTAAATCATTGACTATAAGTAGTATTCCAGTCACCCACCATAACAGTAATAAGTTCTAAAGGTATTACTTGAAGAATAGTAAAACGATATCATCTCGTGTAAGCTACAGATTGTTTTTCTAAGACTGTTAAAACCCTTGTCCCCAGGTCTTGTAAGTGCATCTCATATATACACGTATGTGTTTTCTATGTATACATATACATACTGATTTAATGTGTTCTACTTTTCCATCTCGGTCACAATTCTAATTGTGTTTTCTGTTCTCTCTTTCTTTCTTTCTTTCTTTTTTATCCCAGATCGGAATGAAAGATGATTATTTGGAAAACAGAGAGAATACTCGAAAATATCCGAGCCAGAATGAGAACAAAGCGTATCGAGAGAAACACCATTTATTCGTAAATACGTTTATTCTTCGTTTACACGAAAGAGAGAAAATTATCAAGGAAAACAATGTTCACTGCCAAAAATCAAATTCGCGAAAATTTCGAATGATCTGAACGATTCGAAAAGAATTTCAACAACAAAAAACATACCAAAAAATAATTTCTATTTCTATTGAAACGAAACGAATAAATAAAATTAAAAAAAAAAAAAAAAAAAAAAAAAAAAGAAGAAGAGGATTAAAAAACTGGAAAAAAAAGGTACAATAGGAAGGAGTGTAAATTATTGATTTCGACGATATCGATCGTGCTTACGTTCGTTATAAGAAGTAAAGGAAAATGAAAAAAAAGAGAAAAACTATGTGTAAACGT